TTGTCAATCGCAATTTCACGCCATTATCTACGCTAAACGACCGCTCGCCTCAATAAGCAATCACTGTGATTGAACCTCACATCCCATAGCTAGCAATTTGCAGCGGCTACTGAAATGCACACATACATACATACATATATAAAAATATTTTTAAATTATGTTGTCTATATACATAAATATATTCTTCTTTAAAAATAAACTTGTGTCCTGAGTAGTCTAGGATGTTGCGCGAGTCTGCTCGCTATTTGATTCGGTTAGTTTGTATGGTAGCTAGAAGCTTTAGGGATCCGATCTCAACAAATTCTTCATAGATTCCACCGTGGATAAGATAAGTTAAGTTAAGTTAAGTCAAGTTGAGTTAAGTTAAGTTAAGTTAAGTTCAATTAAGTTCAGTTCAGTTCAGTTCAGTCAAGTCAACTTAAGTTAAGTTAAGTTAAGTTAAGTTAAGTTAAGTTAAGTTAAGTTACGTTAAGTTAAGTTCAGTTCAGTTAAGTTAAGTTAAGTTAAGTTAAATTAAATTAAGTTAAGTTAAGTTAAGTTAAGTTAAATTAAGTTAAGTTAAGTTAAGTTAAATTAAGTTAAGTTAAGTTAAGTTAAGTTAAGTTAAGTTAAGTTCAGTTCAGTTCAGTTAAGTTAAGTTAAGTTAAGTTAAGCTCAGTTCAGTTCAGTTCAGTTCAGTTCAGTTCAGTTCAGTTCAGTTAAGTTAAGTTAAGTTAAGTTAAGTTAAGTTAAATTAAGTTAAGTTCAGTTCAGTTCAGTTCAGTCAATTCAAGTCAAGTCAAGTCAAGTCAAGTTAAGTTAAGTTAAGTTAAAGTCAAATTAAGTTAAGTTAAGTTAAGTTAAGTTAAGTTAAGTTAAGTTAAGTTAAGTTAAATTAAGTTAAGTTCAATTAAGTTAAGTTAAGTGAAGTTAGGTCAAGTCAAATTAAGTTAAGTTAAGTTAAGTTAAGTCAAGTCAAATCAAGGCAAACCAGGTTAAGTTAAGTTCAGACACTGTTCCTACCACTATGTTTCGATCAGGATCAATAACCAAAATAAGTATACAGTCAACAGATGGTGCGATTTTCTTCTTCAGTAGTTTGAAGAATTTTAATTTAATTCCGAAAGCCTCTTTGGAAAAAATTATCCATCAATTAATATCCTTACTAAATAATAAAGCAAAAAACTTAATCACATAAGAGAGTCTAAAATATAATTTCTATCCACAATGTTTAATTTAATTATCCACAATACCCCAACTCTCCAACGCCGGCACGCCGCCAGCTTAAAAACCGCAAATCACCATTGAATAGCATATTTTCTACTTACAACATACACCACCTGCCCTTCACCTACTCGCCGATTTGCCATCGTTAAGCGTGGAAAAAAAATACCGTTGTTGCACGTGCACAAGAGAGCGCCAAAAATGTTTGCTTAGCGGCAAATTAAAAATTCAAACAATGTGTTGATGCCTCACACCCAACAGGCACACACACACCAATCCATGCAACTAAATATGGTCATACATGTGGATTTATGTATGTATCTACGTATGAATATGTGTAAGCGCGCATAACTTTAGTTGCTTGCCACACGCGCGCCACAACTTTCGTCTAATGCAAGTACATAAGCATAATTAATATGCAAAAACAACAAAAGCGCAAATGTTGCCTAACAAGCGCCCACCACACTCCTTAAATCAACATACGCTCTCCCATACCTGCATACGTACACATAGCTATACACACGTGCTTGTGTTTATGTGAAGAAATGTTTTGTAAGCCGTTTGAAAGTGTTGCTGCTGCCAACAATAGCAACAACAAGTGCAACTTTGCTGCTGTCTGTTGCTGATTTGGCTGTTAGTTGGGTCGCTGGCGGGCTTTAGCGGCGACGCATGTGTTGGAGGAGGCGGCGGAGCGCGTACTTTTCAAAGCCGATTTGCATGTTTTTGTTGCTGTGCCCATGCGCTTACGTTCGCTTTGTTTGACCAGCAAAAAAGGTTACATTTGCAGCTTCATTATCACAGCTTCCGCGTCATCATTTCCGGCTGTAGAACCCTCTTTTATTTTATTATTATGAATATCCATATAAAACTTTGAATAATTCATTCATATTCTAGCGCATCATAATCATGCATATACATATGTACCTATGCATATATTTAAATTTATATATATGTATGTTTATAAAGCAATCCTACCAAATATAGTCGTATGCTTTTATGTGCGTTATTTCTGCCCTTTCATACGTAATTCCATTCAGACATATGAAATAACAAGTCTGTAAGTATTTGTGAATTCAGAGAAAGCTTGGTAAGCAAGTGCGTCTGTCTGTATGCAGTCCTGGTTCACTAAAAACCGCTCAAAAGCTTCTATAGCTCGCATCTGAATCTAAATAAAAGCATTAAGGTTAGTCATGGCATAAACTGGTGGCTAAAACGACCCTGGCAGACTGTTATTCGTCGGGTCATTCGAACCCCTGTCAAAGCTAGAGACAAGTCATCTCTAAATTAGTATAATTTTTGACGTAATCCCCCCAAACTATCTCATGAACTTGTTTTATAGATTTTTTCTTATCGGGTTCTCTCGAAAATCTACTAAAAATTCACAACCAGTTTAAAACTAGTAAAACCCCCTTTGATCTGATCTATTTGAAATCAGCATTTTTTCGCGAATGCCAGGCAAATCTGTACTTAGTAGTTCCGGGTATCATAGCCGCTAAACTTTTCTAGCATACCAAGTTGGGTTATTCGTGGTCTCATGAATATTAGACTATTTAATTGGTATAAGATAACCTATGCCAGAGTGTTATCAGATGAAAGCTTATTCAAAAAGCTCTGAAGAATATTTGCATATTGTTTCGTTCCATCACCATTAAGGATCTTATAGAAATCATAACTAATGTCTAATTTTAATTGGTATAAGATAACCTATGCCAGAGTGTTATCAGATGAAAGCTCACCCAAAAAGCTCTCTAGAATATATATACATATAAATGTTGTACGAACATTTCCATTAAGGTTCTGATACAAATAAAGACTTTTTCAACATAAGCTACAGTTTCATCAGATAAGCTGTCAAGACTTCCATAACGAATCTTATAAAAATCATTACTTTTTCCTGGTATGCCAGAGTGTTATCAAATCTGAGAAACCAAGTCATCACTTTTTCAAAGAAAGTCAAAGTATTATCAGCTGAACAACTTTATAAATAATCTCATACAAACCATTACTTGCTTCGAATTATGCTCGGATAATGTCCATTGAAAGTTCATCCAAAAAGCTCACAAGAATATATGCATATTTTGCCAAATATTTCATAAAGAATCTGAGACAAACCATCACTTTTTTGGCACTTGTGCCATAGTATGGTCAGAAGAAAGCTCATTAACAAAGCTCTTAAAATATTTATGTATATTTTATCATTATTTTGAATTATTATGGTTGTTTCAATTAATGCCCAAGGCACTTTCAGAGTGTTAAATTATTTGATGGTGTCATATTGTCGAAGAAAGATGTTGATTTAGAAATTTTCTACAAAACCATAATATTTAGAATTGTTCTCAAGTCTACGTAATTAAATAATCAGTGATTCAGAGATGTACGATAAAGCAAAGTGAAAAAAACTTGTGAAGTGTATACAAATATGTACTTACCGTTAAAAATGTGTCAGCAATTAACAGCATTTCTCAGTATTTAAAAAATATGTATCATAACACTGTTGAGAATTATAAAGCCATTTATTTAACGAGAGAAATGTAAAGTATAATTAGCGGAAAAATATATGTATTGTAAAAAGAGGAGAAAGAGATCAATAAAACAAGAGAAGAAGTATAAAGAGAAATGCGTAGAGGGATAGAGAGAGATACAGGAAAAGACTGATAGAGAGCCGCAAAATAGCTAAGAATTATAAAGATATTTATTTTACGAATGAAATAGTTAGTACGTTCTGTAAATAAATTATTAGTAAGGTAAGAGAGAGAGAGAGAAAGAGAAAGAGAAAGAGAAAGAGAAAGAGAAAAAGAGAGGTTGAGAGAAAGGGATCAAGCGAAAAAATAATGTAAAATAAATAGAAAGATGCGAACATGGAAATATAGTGAGAGAGCAAGGAACAAACAGATATAGTTAGAATGGGAGAAAGAAAAAGATAGAGGTAGAGACACAAGAAGAAAAAAAGAGAGCTACAGAAATAGGAATTGGCAAAACAGTGTACCGCATAAGCAAAGATGAAAAAGAGAGACACAAAAAGATACAAATAGAACCAGAAGGAGAGTAGGATCATCTAAATCGGAGAATCACATAAAACTCAGTAAAAAATGTTATAAACGTTGAAACATAAACTTTTAAATATTTTTACCCTCATTAAAAAATTTTTGGTACCACCAGTGCTTTTTCATACATGGTACCGTTACAAATTTATGCTTGTGGGTATGATGAATGGCGACGAAAAAGCACACGGAAAATGATTTAATTGCAGTGAGATTAACATATTTTCATTGCCACTAGCTGGAAACGCTATTTACGCACATACGTGCGTTCTTGATTACATACATACGCACTTGCATTTATTTAAGATTCTAAAAAGAGCAAATTTTGGTAGATGTGAGGTAAATTAACCAAGTTTTGGCACATGTAGAACTTAAAATTTAAGAAAAAAATTAAAAAAATATATATTGAAACTTTAATTAATAAATTTGAAAACATAATTTTGAAGAAAATTAAATAAATAATCAAATTTCCATTTATTTAATTTTGATAAAAAATTTTGTTTTATTTTAATAAATATTTTAACAATTTATCAAATTTTAATTAATTAAATTAAATTAATAATTTTGTAAAATATTTTAAATATTATTTAAATTTTAATTAAGCTTATTTAAAAAAATAACCTGTCTCTTATACACATCTTAATCGATAAAAACTAAAAAAAAATTTATTAAAAAATTAAAACTGCAAAATATTTAAATTTCTGAAATCAGTATTTAAATTTGCAACATTTCTCACGCGCTTGCCTTCCCTTTCAGGTAAAACACGTCATTTCACGGTGAACGGTTTTAATACGCATGTACAGCAGCAACCGCAACAACAACAAGTCCAACTGCAAAACCAGAGTGACGTGCGTAATATTTACAATAATCCTTATACGCCACCAACAGCACCGACAACAACATTGAGCCAACAGCAGCAGCAAACACATCGTTTGCAGCAGCAGCAACAACAACAGCAATTGTTGTACAAGTCTATTGCCAGCGGTGTTGTTGGAAATAGTGGCACGAATCAATACGATTACCCACCAACGGCAGCGAGTGAACATCAGCATCAGCTACAACAGCAGCAACAACAATTGCAACAGCAACTTCAGCTACAACAACAGCAGCAGCAACAACAACAATTGAGCAACGTCTTGGAAGCTGACAATAACACCTTCACCAGTCATAATAAAGGTAGGACAGACAGACACAAATTTATATTTTCGAATTATTGTCTTTTTAAAGGCAAGTTTTTATATAAGTACCGGGTTCAGTTAAAAGTAGTCCAACGAATTCTTGTATAATCTGACTTGAGCGTATCTTCGATAAATATCGAAATCTTCCACTTAAATGTTTGACATCGGGGCTCAACGGGAAGTTTGGAGAGAGGGTTTTCATTCGAGAGCTCTCAATGAACTCTTGTTTTAGACTGCCAGACCACTGTAGTGTGTTGCAGTCTACTATACGAGTAGTCGTAGATAGGAGAACGGAAAAAGTTTTGCTTTCGGCCACTGGATCTACCAACACTTGGGGCGTTGCAAAAGACCTTTGGCCGGAGTTTTTGTTGATTGCTATGAGAGAGTAGAAGTGTCAAGTCGAGTAGAAAACCGTTTAGCTGTCAGTTGTGATTCTAGCACCTCGAAGTCATATCACCTTATACTTATCGAGGGGCATATTTTGCTGCATAGAGGCGGGTGCGTAACTTTGCTAACACAAGGTAGTGTTCGTATGTTAGGTACGCACGTAAAATTCGAGGGATATGTCGTCCATCTATCACAACACGATTGACTGGATTTTGAGCTTTTCGATCCGAAGGCAGTCAAATAGTTTGATGAATTTACTTGTGATAGAATCTAATACTATAGACGACCACTTTTTGGTCCCATACGAAATCTCAGACTCAATCTATTTGCGACGTTTTCGATTTTTTTTTAACTAAAATTTTGTGATTTTTTTGCCCACCTAAAAAGTCACAAAAAGCCCTAAAAATGCAAAATTTTGACCTCATGGTAGGTACGTTCCTCGTTCTCCTGACGCGCATGAAGGCATTTTTAGTTCTATCGGCCTTCTCTGCCATCGTTACGTGGGCGCAAACCAGAGTTAAGTCGAAAAATGTCGCGTGTATGCAGAATGTGACCACACGTTCCTCCACCCAAGTGAATACCAGGTCTCGACGGCTGAGTCTTTCTCGAACCACGAATCTTTAGCCATATTTCCGCTCCTTCATAAGGCCGCTGAAGTAAATGCCATCCACCACGATCCTGCGTCGAATTTGGTTTAATTTAAAGCGGTCGCATTTCTTCTCAACTTTTACTCCTTCGAGAATATCCACAAGCTGAACAGCGGCACTTTTCCAATTTAGAAATCGGATATCCCAGGAGCAGCTGCTTTTCAATTATAATTATTAAAAAATTTCCCGTGGTCGTTATTAAACGAGCGGTCTTTCTGCCGAGGCTGTTATTTCTTTTCCATTGGTGGAGATTTGTACGTAGCAAGTCCTTGGTAGACAAGAAGTATAAAATTTCGTACACATATATATATAGGGGGCTGTTTGCTTTAAGACCAACGACGGTTCACAGCGCACCTCTGGATATGCAACTAGACTTTAGCGACCCCATAAATAGAATAAGTCGAAATAGCTCCGCTGTAGCTGCCGCTGTTTTAGCCGTCATCTTTGGCTCCACACGTATTGGCAACCACTCTAGAGTAGGAAGTGAGTATAGACCTACGAATGTAACTGCTTATCAAGAAGCATGACTACTCCCCATTACACCTCATTGGGTTAAGTAAAGTTAGGTTATACCGGTAGGCTATCATCTATCTTAACAGTGCCGCTAAACTCCATAAAATGGACTCTCGCAAAAACATAATTTTTAGCTTCAGAGTTTATTCAAGCTTGTTATCCTTCAGCTTCACTATCACTAAACTCTCAGAGTAATTCCTTTTTTCTGGCTCAACGCATTCCTATCCGAATGTACCACTTTTGTTTAAAGACCTGCTGGTCCACAGCACTTAAGCCAAAACTTGATGAACAGCAATAAAAAGCCAACGTCTAATATATTTTCCGTCCTTTCTTACCCCATGGACATTCATTTTGCCATTTTGGGCGTGCCGAATTGGGCGAGTTGGTCGTTCGCCTGCGCTAATCAATTGATTGCGTTTTCATGCGAATTGTTTAAATTGCGCGCAACAACACCAAAAAACAACAGTAACAGCAACATACATTCACATATGCTTCGGACAGAACAAATTTACTTCGTTGGACACTAAACGCAAATTGCAAATCCCTCATGCCCACGCCGTGCCCCCCCGCTTCAGTTGTGTTTATATATAAATAGGCATTTCCTTTGTGCATACAATTTAACTGTTGTGCTGTCGTTTTATTTGCCCTCATGCATGTCTGTTTGTTTTGATTGTGTTTGTGTCGCATTTTACAGTGCAGATTTCCGGCGAGATTCCCAATTAGGATAATCTTAAATGGCAGTGTAAATATTGGCAATAGGCGCATTCGTTTCGGTCATTCAATGAAATGCGACATGCGAAAATTAACGATGCCGGCGACGCAACAACAAATACAAATACATGTCTGACTTGTTGGTGACCACCCACAATTTATGATCGAGCAATTTTAAGCGGCTCCGCAGTTCATTTGCTCCCCCAAAACAATCGAGTTTATTAGAAAGCGTTCTGCGTACCACTCCATGCCAGTTTCTTTGAAATATGTCTGTCTGGCTTTTGACCCACAGCCTATGCAATTATTAAGCTCATTGCCTGCATGTGTGAGTGAATGTATTGCTGCATAAAGGACATTGTCACCGGCCTGTTATCTCAAGTTTATTTGCATTGCGTATTTTATATTTAGAAAACTCACGCCACTGCGTCTTCACCCAGAACTTATCTGAGTGCGTTCTTCTGTTTCCAATTTTGTCAATTTATGCAAGGTTCCTTACTTGAGCCGACCTGTCTGGATCGTTTGTCCAAGTGTTTGCCATATTTCTGTTGCTCGAATAGACAAATTTGCTCTCTCCAATATTTTTTTGTAAATTTCTAAGCATTGCCAATCGCAAGTCACTACTTCTTTTTTTTCTTTTTTATTTCAAAGCCGGACTACTTTACATTTTTCAATTTCGTCTTGTTAGTGGAACTGCTTCTGAGCCAGATCATGTGCCATCGACCGAAACAAATAATAATCGGACGGTTAAATAACTGGGTATATAGCTGGAGGGATAGTAGGTTATACCAAATGTCCACAATATCGTATTGCTTTTTGACTAAAAAGCTTTATACTAAAATTCAGAAATGCATTATTATGTAAGAACATGGTTCGTTATGCTGTTCCGAAACTTATTTTCGGTTAAGTTAATCTGGTATGCTAGTGAAGAACGCATAGACAAGTTTTAGTCCTTTGAGGTACTAGATGGAGTGCTGTTACGTAGTTCAAGAGAAGTAGCTATCCTTTAGACAGCCGGAGTTTGATACGAATTTAAACAAACTCGGTGGCCTCACGAAGGAAACCTCCTTCGGTGTATCGCATAAGAGCACAAGAAATGCTCTATAGTAGAATGATGTCTTGGTTTTGGCAAATCCTGTAGTCTTCTCTATCTGTCAGTCCCATACAGTTGGTTTGTGCCGCAGCCAGACTATGCCCAGTGAGTATTCTAATCATGTTTCCACACTCCATACTATCTCGTGCTAGTAGAAAACTTTGTATATTTCCGATCTACCGTTTAAAGTATAGCATTCCATCCCGATAGATTATTCCGTCGAGTTTTAACCATTCTTGGCACACTACTGTCCCGATCGTCGAAAAGACAATGCGTGGGTTTGCCAATGTCTGTTATGTTATCGGACCATTTTTGCGATCTCTTCCGCTATGACATATACCTCCTTGTTTTCGTGGCCTGACAGTCCGTAGCAGTTAAGTCGCTTGATTCTGGTGACACTTTCCACTGCTGTTCTGCTTTTCAAGACACTTTTGACCGAAACGAGGTTAAAGACTTGATTGCTGCCTGGCTGTCCACCTAAACGTTGACTCTGGAGTTTTCTGGCTTGATGATTTACTCCACTGCAAACGTCTCTGCTTGAAATTTACTGCAGTCATCCGTCAGCTTAAAGGATGTGTAACTCTGGGTAGTATCTTTCCACACCAAATCCGTCCTAGATTTTTGAGCAAACTTTGGTCAATTACTAGAAAACGTTCTGTAACATGGTTTTTCTGGTAAAAGGTAATTCTTTAGAGGTCTGGTGAGCTCGGTATTTTCGGAAAATTTCAATTTTCCGTGGTTGTAAGCGTTCTAGCTGGGCACAGTCCGAGCGTGATTCATGCGGTAAGGTAGAATATTTTAAGATGTCAGTTTCATAAGTTGCTTTGAAGACCGAAGGTCAACTGTGCAGTCGCACGGCCTAAAGGTAATTTGTATGAGGTCTAGTGATCTCTTTGCCTTCAGTAAATTCACCATTCAATGGCTGTCGGAGTCCTTTTGCACATCAAGGCAACTCAGTTCTTATACTGTTGTTCTGTTGATAGCTAATATCCAATTACTGTAGTTTTGAGCTGACTTTACTAAGGACTGTGATTGCAGTCGAAGTGTGATGTCCAGTCATCTTGAAGAATCTACCATCTAATCTGTTCCAATTGGATGTAGTATCAGGTATAAGTGAATCGACCACATGGACATTCAAACGATGGAGGAAGAAGTACCAACCGATCTGGTCAAATTTAACCAGGATTATATATAAGACTAGTCACAGTGGAACCGATATTAAAATCAGACTTTTACGATCCATACTCTCTCGCTGATGACTCTTTGTCTTTTTTTTTCTCTCTTCTTGGTCCACATGACTTTAAGAAACTATAACCGAGCAGAGTTAAAAGCCAAGAGCTACTTTATAAACGCCGAAAATTAACACGAACACATAAGCACAAACACACACACACGCGTATATAATATGCCACCCACTCAACATGCAACCGCATGAGGCATGCGATTTTATGATGTGTCATTTGAACTGTTGCGCTTGGCGCGCACCATAATCACAATGCTTGTTGTTGCAATGCATTAAATATGAGTTAGTGTTTGTATGCTGGCATAACCGTTATCTTGTCGAGATCGTAAGGAGGCGTGCGCACATAAAAAATCAGCGTAACTTTCGCTCGCAACAGCGTCTAGGCGGCATAATCCAGTTGCCAACGCACACACACACACACACACACACACATTCACAGGCACGCCACTTAGCCACAACGTGCGTTTGCCACTGTGCGCCACAGTTGGCAACAGCCTGTCGTTGTCTGGGCTGGTTGCAACAAGCGATTTGTTGCACGCCGCAAGGATAATCACACTTTTAATCGTGATTTAAGTTTATTGCAAGCAAAGACTTGCCACCAGTCGACAGCCAGCGCGCCCTGTTGCAAGCAAAACACATTTGTTGCGCCTCTGTAGATGTGTTTGTGCAACAGTTTGCTGCCTCTAGCTGGTGTCTGTAGCTTTTTAACCTCTCGCTTTGTTTTGCCACCGCTACCGCTACTTCTTGTTGTACTCTTGTTGCATGTGGCACATCAGGCTCCTTACTCTGCATTATAGTATGTATTTTTGTTGTTGCCACATTGCTTGTTAAACTGTTTGCAGCTGCCTGGTTTTTATACAGTTTATCCCGGCTTCCTGCCATTTATGTTGAAATTTTTCTTTCACTGTTGCTCCGCAACGTCTTCAAAGTCATCGTCATCATCGTAGCTGCCACACAGCTGGCTGCCACAATGGAGCAATTGCACTTGGCCACATTTTATAGTCAAACCACTTCGCGCGTCTCGCTTTCGCCAGCTGTCTGTGGCACGTTGTCGTCCCCCAGCGGTGTGATTTGTTGCTAATGCCGCTGTCGGCTGGCTACTTGACTGCCACGCTGTGTTGCTGCCACATGCCGTCCTCTACTTCCCTTTCTAAGCTATGTTGATTGCCGTTGTTAGTCGTTTGCTGGCGCTTCTTTCCACCTGTGTTCGCCATATCTTGGCCGCTTTTTATTTTTGCGCTGCTGACCATTTTCATCATCCTGCTTATGACTTCCATTTATGGCTGCCGCTTTTATTTCTCCGACGCTAAACTATGTCAAGTACGGCAAATTATGGTGTCGGCTCTACTTTCTTGGCAAAGAAATAAATGTTTAAGCCGTCGTCTCTCGGCGTCTCCAGTTGCATTATGATTTAGAGTTTAATTTAATTTGTTATCATAGCTGCCCATATTTCAGTCTCAACTCACGCTGTTGAGGTTATGGTGAAAATAATTAATTTTACTAAGTGCGAAGGTTGTTTAGGTAAGAAACTCTTTGGATATTCACATATAAGTTACAAAATGGCGGCGTATTACTCTATAGTAAACGTATTCCATGCGCCACTTCCATACTCGCTAAGTCTTGTAGTAAGCGTGTTCGAATCACAGATTTCAAGCTGGCCAAGTTCGTATAGGAAAATATAATAATTCTTCGGAAAGATGTACAAAATCATCCAACTGTAGTCGGTACAAGTTTTTGGGGTAAATGTGTCCGATGCGGCCGTTTTTTATTTGCCAAGCTTGTGTCAAAAAAAACTAATTCTCTTTGAAACGAGAGTCAAGGGTATCTAACTTTATTCAATAAAAGTTATTCTGGTATCTAGATACTTCAATAAAAAGGTTTTTCATATATTTCCTCATTTGCAACTCGATAAAGCTCCTATAAGTATCAAATTTATCCAACTGTATTCAATATAAGTATTTAAGAATAGACATTTCTCTTTGAAGAGTTAAATTTCATATCTCTCAGATTTAAAGTAGTTGCTTTCAAGCTTTCAAGGCAATCCAATGGGTTAACCCGAGGGCTGCTATATATATTTCTGGCCTAATAATGAAAATAGGAATATTTATCAACGAGAATGGTTTTATTGTTTTTCAAAATATTCTCCATCAAGATTTATACACTTTTGCATGCGCTCAAACCAATTTTCGAAGCACTTTTTCCACTCCGATTGAGACACCTCCAAAACATCAATTCGACGTTTTGACCGGTCAAAAAGGCGCTGGTTTGAGCCGATGTGTGAGAGCTCGCATTGTCATGGTGCACAATGATTCGTCTTCTCTTGTTCGTTTTTCGAATTTCTCCGAAAACTTCAGGCAAACAAATGGTGGTGTACCACGCAGAATTGACCGTCCTACGTTGCTCAAGCAAAACAGTTGCCACATGACCAGTTTTGTCGAAGAAACCGGCGACCATTTGCTTCGAAGTGCTTCTTCCACGAACAACTTTCGTTGGATTTGGCTCGTCTTGGAAGACCCACACGGTCAACTTCTGTTTTGTTTCGAGCTCATACGCATTGATCCATGATTCGTCACCTGTGACGATCTTATAAGCGTCTTTTGGAGCACCGCGATCGTATTTTTTCAGCATTTCTTTACACCAATCTACACGAGCATTTTTTTGAGCGATTGAAAAAATATG